TTTAACCTAACTGATCGTTTTCTCTGTCACGATCTTGACAGACAGCAGCACTGAAGAGATCGCATGCTCATTGGCTACAGGCTTGTGACTGACATGTCGTTAGCCAATGAACATTCCCTGAATAATACTACTTTTTTTTACTCTTGTATTGATCATATTTTATAAACTACAACAATTTCCTTGAAATGAATTCAGTTTTATTCACATAGTACAAGTTCACAACAACATGTATCACAATGGCAACTCATACTTTAAGGGAAACACATTACAGTCTTACCTCAATGAGAAGCTCAATGATGAGACGATCACGTGCTTTTTTTTGTGTCTGTATTAAAAACATATTTGTCTTTAAACTCAGCAGCGCAGCAAAATCTTCTACTTTATTAGTTTATAGCAACTGTGCAGGACTGAAGCCAGAACACATCGAAACCTGACTGATTTTTTGTTTCATACAGAAGCCACTTGTGTTTTTTCTTGCTATGCACTAAAGTGCTTCGTTAAATCTGCAGTAAAATAAATATAAAACTGTCTAGAATAATAAGATTAATTAACATAAAATCTTGCTGTAGACTTAAAATTTTCACTGTTTATCGTTTGCCTTCATTATCATAAGAATCTTACCTGTTTTGTAACATTGTTTCATTTAATCCCTGACCACCTCTCACTGAGTAATGAACCATTTAAGAAAATGTTTTCGTTTGAACTTTGTGTCAAAGCATTTCTTCTCTCCCAGTACGGCTCTGGACTGCAGACTGCTTCATGTTTCATGGTCACCACAGGCACTGCTGAAAGAGTGGAATGAACAGCTTTATATGGCAATTTTATCACCCTTACACATGCTGAACATTCTTAACATTTTCTTTTCCTGTTGTCACCCACGTGACATATATGCATTATGTCCTGTGGGTGGCACAGTGGTGCAGTGGTTAGCCCTGTTTTCTGGTTTGAACATCAGATCTGTGTGCCTGCACAGATTTCCTCCAGCATATTATACATATATGCATTTCAATAAAGCGAGATCACTTGTAAGAATTTGATTTACTGAGAAGGAGAAATTAATGTATCTGGTGATTTGACTCCTATGACCCATCATGGCATGAAGGAATTGCAGCAGTGATTTAAGACATGAGGCCCTGGAGTCTGGATGCTGACGGGGGTGAAGATGAGGACTGAGGTCTGACTGATTGAGGCGACTGTCTGGTGGAGATGGGAAGGAGGGTGGGTTGCATGAGTGTAAAAAGGAGAATGTGATAATAAAGGACCTATTCACACAGCGTTACACACTGGGTGTTTGTTTTTACATTTTGATCGCTTTCTGCAGGAGCTTTCAAGCTGCCCTCCTTCAGCTTCACACCACACGCAGTTCTCTCTTCAGGTCCCAGCGACATACTCAAGTGAGGAGACATGGTTATTGATAGATTATAGGCTATATGATTATTATTATCAGATTATTGGGGTCAGGTCTGACACCACACCCTAAACGCACAGCTCCACCCCTCCCCTGCAGATGGAGAGCACAGATTTAAACTACGTGAATTGGAGGCAGAGTGGCTCAAAGAAGGTGGGCGAGAAGAAGATGATTTGACTAGATTAATGATGACAGTACTGAGGCTGACAGCGTGAGAAAGAAGTAGTGATGTAGAGAACAGAAAAATAGACTAACACCCAGGAAAGTAGTCAGATGATTGATTACAGATCTTCCTTACTGAACTTACAGAAATGCTTTATATCAGGTTAACTGGTGATTCCACATCGGCTGACACGTATAGAAAGCATGTTGAATAAAGCACTATATGAATATGTCGTTACGCTTGGTCAGACGTGTAGTCTAATGCATTGAGTCGTCAGTAAACCTACAAAAGTGATGCTTGTCCATTTAATAGTCATATGACCTTATTCTTAAAGACACAGCAGACTTCCATGTTTTATAGCATATTGTGTGCTACATAATGTTTCTTGTCCAACGTTCTGTGTAAATACCAGCACATCCAAACAAAACAACTGATTCAGGCTACACTTATCCAGGGTTACACTGAGACCTGTCACAGTCTGTGCAGACTGTGGCTGATAAAAGGTACAAAACAAACAGCTAGTCAAAAACAATATGACACTAAACAAAAACCTAAACTGGGAAAGTAGAAAGTAAGAAAAATCTATTTATATAGCGCTTTTCACAGATAAAAATCACAAAGTTATTTACAACACAAGAAATGGAAATATAAAACAATGTAACAGTAACTAAAACAGCAATGTAAAACAATAAAAACATAAGAAATTAATCAAAAGCTTTTCTAAATAAAAATGTCTTCAGCTATTTTTTTAAAAGAATCAATGGAGTCCGTGCAGCGTAGAGACAGAGGAAGAGAACTCCACAACCGTGATGCCGCTGCCTGAAAGGCCCGATCACCACGAGTTTTAAAACGAGTGCGCGGTACCACCAGCAGTCTCTGACCTTAAAGCTCGAGAAGATGAATATTTGGGAGCTTGACCATGTAGGGCCCTAAAGGTTAGAACTAAAATTTTAAAATGAAACCTAAAACTTACAGGCAACCAGTGAGGGGAGGCTAAAACTGGAGTGATATGCGATCTTCTCTTGGTGCCTGTTAAGAGACGTGCTTCAGCACTCCGCACAGTCTGAAGACGATTTAAGGCTGATTTGTGCAAACAAGTAAAAAGGCCGTTACAGTAGTCTAAACGAGAAGAAATAAAAGCATGAATAATCATCTCAAGTTCAGGCTTTGACACCATTAGTCTGAGTTTTGAAATATTCCTTCTTTTTTTTTGCCTGTCCCGTTTGGTTCTTTTACCATCAGAATTATTGTCTAAAGGCGAAGAAAGATGCCCAACGGATTTACTTTACCAAATAGACCATCCCAGCCTTGCCGTAATGATCTATTTGATTCACCTTTTATTGTTTATTTTATTTTTTATTTTCACTTGCTAGATACGGGACAGACTTGAATGAGGAAAAGAAAAGGGAGAAAGGAAGAGGGGGGGAAAACAGCAGAGAAGAGGGATGGGGATAAAGGGCAAAAAAACAAAAAACAACTAAATAAGCAGACAAAAAAAAATACATATATCAATCACCTGGATCACCTGTTGAGAAAGAAAAAAGAAAACAAGCAGAAGAAAACGAGAGTAATACAATAAACAACATCACGATGATATATGTGAATATAACAGTAAACACTAAATATTAAACATTATTGTGCAGCAC